TTCCTCTTTTTGTTTCAAGCAAACTGGATATGCATGAATGGAATGATACATTTTAAAGGTGGTCCTCTGTGCCAACATCTATATATTACTCTGTCTTCCATAGTTTGTACTGCTGAAAACAAACAATAATATACACGTTTTGAAAAAGAATATGAATTATTCTGCTGAATGTATACAATGTATATTTGTATTTTGTTTATGTAGTTATGTAGTCAAACATCCCTCTTAATGTTAACCTAGTGACACACTTTATGACTTTTATAATCAAAAGGAGGATCATTTCTTCTCTACACTAAATCAGATATATCCTAAGGTCGGCACTGGGATGCTCAGTTCAGTTAATTAGTGAAGACACTTATTTCATACCTTCAAAACAGGATCTGCTTTAAAAATTCTACTGTATCTGACAACACAAACATGAAATAAGTGGAGTAGAATATATTGAATTGGAAACACATTTTTTCCACTCTCATTAGTTACTTGAATATACTATTATGCTTCTTTACAATAATCTTCACTCATCTTAAAGTAACATCCATTCTTGTAAAGCAAATAGTGTAGTCGGTATAATTCTAGTGATGAACTGGTCCCTAGAGGTCTGTATTTTGACCTTGCATATGTTAATTATGTACAAATCATATCCTACTTTTTTATTGTAACCAAGCCAAGACATCCGTTCATTGCTTTAATTAATTTTTGTTGCCCATCTCTAGTCATTTTCATTTTACAGTCTCTGTTTTATGAACCAATGCTTAATATTTCAGTGAGTATGCCAAATAACACCAGTTGTATTTTTTTTCTGTGCACCTGTACTGATATAAAAATGACATTAACCCTATTAATTTTCTAAACACTTATTATGGAGAGAGGGCATACCCAGTGCTCTGATCCCAAGTAAAACATTGGCCACATCAAGCCCTTGGCCACCAACCCAAACCTACCTTATTTAACTAACCTTTCAAAATGAGCAGTATTGCATTGTAGTAGCATGTATATACTGAACTCTGAAACACAAAACATTTCATAGATTGTATGTTTGTTGGAGCAGGGCCTTCTTCACCACTTGTGTCTGTTAATATTTTGTATTTCAACTACTTGTTATCAGTTATCCCCATTCTATGATTGTAATGGGGATAACTGATAACACGTTTACTATTTTTTGCACTTATACACGTTATGTAGTGAGTTTATTTATTTATTTTTGTTCTAATAAAGCTTATTTATTTATATTGGCTTCTATTTTGGAGGCTATTTTACCGAGGCAGGGTGGTTTTCCTTAGTGGTGGCCACTTGCCCTCCACATTTCGTTCTTATGGACTATCTCTAGTGTTTCTTTATTATAGATTATTTACCTTTTTCAGAGTTATTTACTCCATTTTATGGGCACACCCGCTGTTGGTCTTTTGGGAGCTGGACTTCTGCTCTCCCTCCCAATATACCTACTTCTGGGATTCCTTTTTTTCATATATTATATTTTGGGTTATGCCCACTTTGTGGCCCATGTAGTCCCCTTTTTTTTTACTTCAGAAACAGTTTGTTCTGTTTTCATTTCTTATCTTTGTTTTTTAAATACAGGAGGAGCAGTAAAAAAAAATCTATATTTATATAGTTACATAGCTGAAAAGAGACATGCATCTATCAAGTTCATCCTTTTTCACATCTGTTTTACTGTTGATTCAAACAAAATCAAAAATAAAACAGTTTGAAGCACTTCCAATTTTGCAACAATATAAGGGGGGATATTCCTTCTTGACAACAGAATGGCAGTCAGATACTTCCTTGGATCAAGAAGCTATTACCCCACAATTTAAAAATTATATCCCTGAATATTATGCTTTTGCAAGTATTCATCCAGTTGGTGTTTAGACATCTGTACATATTCTGATAAAACCATCCCTTCAGGCAGAGCATTGCACATCCTTATTGTTCTTACTGTAAAAAGAAACTTTCCTTTGCCTTAAACTGAATCTTATTTCTTCCAGTCAAAATGTGTGACCTTGTATCCTTTATATAGTCCTGTTTATGAATACATTTCCTGGCAATAGTTTGTATTGGCCCAGAATATATTTGTATAATGCTATCATATCACCTCTGATGAGTGTTTCTAAGCTAAAGATATTTAAATTTGTTAACCTTTCTTCATTCTTCCATTCTTTTTATTAATTTTGCAGCCCACCTCTGCACATTTTCCAGTGCTATGACACCATTCTTTAGACCAGGTGCCCAAAATCTGCCTCCCTAGGCAAAGATCCATTTTGTCGCCCCCTGAGATAGTTCCACAAGTTCATTCACTAAACTCCAAAAGGAAACATTCCACTGATATATTTTAACAATTTAGTAGATATACCCCCAAAGAAAATATGCTTTTTTGTTCCTGCAAGTTTACTGAGAAGCCTCTGTTTTGGGGCTGCAGTTGTGTGCACTTGATCACAGCTTACCTATGTTTCCCTAGTTCAGCTCATTGAGAAAGGGAGAAAGCAGGTGCATGCTATTACAGCACGTCTGCCTCCTCTGCTAGCTCTGTGGAGAAGAAAACCTTCCTAGCTGTGTGACAGACAGGGAGCTGTTTTGATCCCAATTATAAAAGGTCCAATTACTACTTTATAAACTGTCAAGAAAATGTCAAACTCGAGACACATAAAGCACTTCAGCAAGTTGAAATACTTTATGTGTATGGAGTAGTCCTCTTTCTTAGAAAACTCCCTTATACATACAGACACTCAATACCTAATACACACACACACAGAAGGTTCCTTATACATACATGCAAACAAAATGCATAATATGCACACACACACATAAAAACAGCATAGTCACAAACTCTTTCTAATACATATACACACACTGCCTAATGCACACACAAAATGCTTGATCGATACATACTCACATACTGCCTAATAAGTACATTACAATATATATGATTATTACATACATGCAGGGCTGGTGCAAGGATTTTTGGCTACACAGGCGAAGATGCATTTTGCCTCACGCCCCAATGCATCTTCACCTCTGTGTCTCGTAACCCCCTTAAGAATTTCTTACCCCCTTTTGTGTTTCCCCTCTCTTGAATGTTTTACCCCTTTTGTGTCCTACACCACGTTTAGTGTTTTATATGCCCGCTTTAGTGTGTCTTACACCCACTTGTGTGTCTTACTTCCCCCCAGCCCATTTCTGTGTCTCTTCTATATAGACATACTTATACAGGCAAAAATACATACATGCAAAGACACAGACAGACACACAACCATACAGCACACAGACATAGTTATTTAGGTACACAGTCACAAACATATACAGACACAGAGTCGTAAAAGGCACGCAATCAAACACGATCATACAGGCATACAGTCATATAGTCTACACTGTGACGAACCGCCTGGCACCCCGACCAGGTCCCTCCGTCAATCGCTGCTTCCTAGTACTGACAAGTACCATAAGCACTGCGCTGGAACACCATAACCACTGCAAACCCCACGAACCGCCGCAGCTTGGTTGGGGTCTCGCTGTCTCTTACCCACCCTGGACCTATGACCAGGATCCAGCTTCCAGTGGGTAGACCTCTCTTAGTCCAGAAAGCGTAGCAGGAACAGCTCTTAGAAGAGCTAGTGATTATACTCAGGGGAGTATAGTATGATAGCAATCCCCCAGAGTGTATGTAGTTCTCCAATCCCCCAAACATGAGCCAAAACTTCATGAAGGTGCAAGATGATCTCAGCTTTAATGGTTCAGGTTGGCTTTTATACAATTCTCCAAGCCAGAGGAACACCCCCTGAACCTGATGGGACACAGGAACACAAAGGACACAAACCAATCAGAACAAACATACAGTCTGTGACACGCCCATGTACAGCACACAATCCTTCCCCTCTGTTTGGGAGATAATTGAGAAAAGTCCTGTAAGTAACTCAATTTTCTCCAGGCAGAAAAACCACATTTTCACAAAGTTCAGAAATTACCCCAAAACATAACATATCCCCAAAATACATCCCCGGATAGCCCTGATCTGGTTGAACAATATATCCAAAAATCACCCAGATCAGAGCAGGGGTTCAAAAGTTTCATGGAAGTCTCTTTTTAACCGGCCGCAAGCATGGCTTCATGCCCAAAACAGTTCCAGGGAATAAGGGCCAGCGGTCGGTATCTCTTTATGCAGTACAAAATTACTTACATTACATGAATGGAGCCTTTTAAAGTGTATTAGGCAAGGTATATTGCAGGGCCCAGGTAGGAGGCAAGCAAACTGGCCCCTCCAAAAAACAGTGGCACAGTCATACAAACACAGACATATAGTCATACAGCGACAGACCAACAAAGAGTTGTATAGAGACATAAAGGAAGTCATGCAGACATACAGACACAGTCATACAAACAAACAGTTATACATGCCATCACAATTACATACCTACATTCTAGTTCTGTGCAATAAGGTTCCTAAGAATCATGCTGTATAGCTCTGATCTGTAGATTGAATTTAGTAGCCCATCCACATCACTATTTATTATTTAAGCAGCAGTATATGCAGGGGATTATTTTTGCACTGTGTGGGAAGTTATAACTAATGTGGGAAAATAGAGGCTGTGATAGGGGTAGTGGTTGTGATTGGAGGATAAGGGCTGTGATAGGGTTAGGGGCAGTAGTGGAAGGGTAGGAACTGTAGAGGGGATTTACAGGGCGTTAATGGCTGTGATGGGGAAATAGGGGCTGTGATAAAGAGTATAGAGACAGTAATGTGGGGGATAGAGGCTGTGATGGTATTATTAGGTAGATAGGGACTGAGATGGGTGAGGTAGGAGCTAAGATGGGGGAGGTAGGAGCTGAGATGGGTGAGGATTGGGGAATTAGGGGCTGAGATGGGGGATTGGGGTGAGATTGAGAGGTAGAGGCTGAGATAGGGGCTGAAATGAGGTTCATAGGGGAGATGAGGGAGGTAGGGACTGAGATGGGGAAGTAGGGGCTGGGATGGGGAAGTAGGGGCTCGGATGGAGGAGGTAGGGGCTGAGGTTGGGGGGATTGGGGCTTAGATGGGGGAGGTAGGGGCTGAGTTTGGGGCTAGATGGAAGAGGTAGGGGCTGAAGTTGAGGGTATTGGGGCTAAGATGGGGGAGGTAGAAACTAAGATGGGGAGGATTTGGAAAGTAGGGGCTGAGATGGGAGATTGCGGTGAGATTGGGAGGTAGGGGCCTGAGGTGGGGGATCGGCCTGGGAGAAATGTGACGTCGGCCTGGGAGAAATGTGGACGAAGCCTGACCGTGCACCGCAGGAGGGGGGCCCAGTGGGAGGGGGAGACCTATTAAACCTATAGTGCCAGGAAAAACGGTTTGTTTTCCTGGCTAAATAGAATCCCTTTAACAACCAATGCTCATAAATTATCTCTGTGTAAGTTCGTTATAATAAATGTCCACTGCACTGTATTATCTTTAACAGTACTAACTTATGACCAGGGTACCGGGTATTCAGTTCTCAATATACAAAGTATTCAACTTGCAATCTGTTTCTTTGTTTTACACAGAAAAGATACAAACAAATATAGTGTCATACTGCAGATTTGATTATACTCCTAAACCCCTGCCCCTTATTGGAACTCTTACATGATATCTGTGTGGTTAATGTCTCTAATAATCACAACAAAACATTCACAATTGTCACAGCAGCTTAAGAGCTTTGTTAACGATCCATCGGTATACCCTGTTTCACCGGTCTTCTCTTGGATGATGGAATCAGTGTTTAATATCTGAAGAGACGCTGAAGCTCCACCGCTGATCTGCTTGCAACTGCTCAATGACTCAGAAACCACTTCCTCATCAATGCTATTGACCACTAACTGCTTAATACTGTGCTGTTTTGTATGACTGGCGTCATTGGCATGACTAGCGTCTTTGACACGACTGGTGAGTTATCCATGAGTGATAATTTCTGCATGACTAATGCCTTCTGCAAGACTGTTTTAATAGACACTGAAACTTTCATACAACAAACCTTGTTACACTCCCCCTAACTGTCAGACAACTGTTCCTGTTACATTCTCTATGGAGCTAAACTCAAATGGTAGGGAATTGTTAAAAGCACCTACCTGACTTGCAAAGATTTCTCATTGAGCTGCATCAGGACGTTAGGGATTGGACAGCCGCAGAAAGTCTAGGCTGGGGGACAAAGGTGGGCTTGCAAAGGCTGCAGATGAGAGAGATGGAGGAGCGTGGGCGGAACCTGACCAAGCACCGAGGGACATCGGCGCTGGATTCAGGAAAGTGACTGAAGGGGTTTTAGAGCCGAGGGAGGGGGGCACCTCAGAAATCTATAGTGCCAGGAAAATGGCTTTGTTTTCCTGGCAAAATAGGATCCCTTTAATCTTAATGAAATACACATATATCAATATACATGTGTATATATAATTTTTTTTAAATTAAACTTTGTCCTTTCCATAGATCCATGTGCATGCTTACAGACTCACACTCAGTGACCCTCACAAATTCACTGCCCCATGCACACACTCACACACACTCTCATTGACCCATATACAGATTCTCTGATCCATGCAAACACATTAACTCACACTCACTGAAGCAGGCCCAAGAGGCACTCATCCTGGTCATCTAACGTGCTGCTTTTCAGCTGACAGAACAAGCTCTCCATGCAGTTAATTGCAGCCACAGAGACATCCAGCCTTATACCTGATACCTCCTTATTCACAGCTTCTTTGATATCCTTTAGATTAGCATTTAGCAGCTGTGGTTTTGTTACTGAGAGGTTTTGAATGATATTAAGGCCTTCAATCTTCTGACGCCCTTCGTCGCTAGAAACCAATTTAAATGCCTTTAAAAGGGAGGCATTTCTAGGTGGAGGCTGTTCCAGCATCTTAACCTTATGGAACTTGGGATCGGGGGCTGTCCGTCTTGAGGGCTCCTTTGGAGGTGATGGCTTGAAGTCACCAGCAGTAATGGAGACCCTGCTCTCCTTGCACGGTGGCATGGAATCCTTTGTGAGTTTCAAGCGGACGTTTCCTACTTGACTTCCATTTTGAATCCCTTTTACCTTAAAATCTCTTCTTTTTCGCATCTGGTTGCTTGATGCCAGTGGTGGCAAGGGTTGGTGCAAAGATTATTTGGAGACCTTATTATTTGTGGTGGAACTTTTTAGATAGTTTTTGCCCAGAGAGGGATACAAGCTCCTACGCACAGATGTCTGGTCCATGTTTGTCCTAGCCTGTCTGGTATAGTCCTGAGGCTTTACTTTCAAAAAGTCATTCTTTTCCATATTTAGGAATAAATTTCTTAAATTTTCTCTATTTTCTCTATAAAAGATAATATGTAGCCATAATAGCTTGAAGACTCAAAAGTCAATCTCTTCTCTAGCTTGATGAGCCAAGCTGTGAGCACTCTGCGCATCACCAGTCAGTAAGGTTTTAATTCTTTGTGATGTAATAGAACATTAACCACTACCAGTGAGGCTGGCATTATCTGTAAACCAGCAAAAAGCATATAATACTTGCTGCAGGACTATTTAAACAAAGTCCAAGGTATATTACAAGTTACACTTGTATAAATATATCTGAAATAAAAAGGAAATGTGTTCTCTGTTCAGTGTTATACCCAGCGCCATGCTAGGAAGCCACCAAACTGACACGGTTATTCACTCAAATGTGAACTATTAAATTCAGTTAGTACAATATTCCCCAAAGGATTATTTTATATGACAGAAAAGAATTGGAAAGGCTGTGCCAAAATATTGGTATCGTTATACTAATTTGGTATCTTTATACTTTATAATATTTAGTAATGTAAATCAAAATTATGAATATACAGCATTTGTTTTTTATAAGACGAGGTACAGAAGGGGTATAAACATAAGCACCAGGAAATATAATCACAGCACCTAATCCAGGACCAAAATGCACACTTTACATTGTTTTGAGGTTTTTTAATTAGATTTTTCTAATTCATCACTGTGAAACAAATTGGATGAGGGTAGACTTGCTACCGGTGTTTTAAGCACTATAACATATCTTATACCATTTCAAATGGACAAAGAGGGACACTTTAATTTTAGGGGTGTTAGTGTGGGTGTTGCCAGGGGAGATTATGTACTGAGAAGTTTTAGGTGACTTACTAATAACAATTCATTGAACTAAAATTTAATTGGTGGATCACATTTAAACAGACTTATTTTTAGACACATTTATTGTTGTCGCTTTATTTTTATTTATCATTATCAAGCCGATGTCAGCCACATGTCAAAAGATGCGAACTCTCAGCCAATGAATGAGTTCTTATCTTTCACAAAATTAACATCCAGCTTGCACAGCTCATGAAGACAATAATCAGAAATAAACCATGGTCAAACATGTTGACAGGTCATCATACTCTCAATCAGATATTAGATAAATTAGATATTTTTGGGCCCCTTAGACAGCTCAAGTAATGGGCCCAAATTCGGCCACAGGGCCCCTCCCCAAGTCCGCCCACAAGGATGCAGTGTATGGGTGTGTAAGGGATGCAGTGTGTGGTAGGATAGGGGCTGTGTTCTGTGGGGTGTGAGCAGTTTGTTTTTTTAATTGAGCTTAATACGATTATTTTTATATGTTTATTTCCTTCTACCTGCTTCTTACATGTGACTAGGGAGGGGGAACTCTGAAGAGATCAAAATAGCTTCTCCCCAGGTTCTTGGAAGTTATCACTGAACCATAGCCTACACAAATATAAGAGCATGGGCTCTATTTTTTTTCTGCCTGCCAAATGACTGCAGTCGGATTTTACTGCAGCCAAAATCTGTCAGCTTCCTCCTACGCAGGTACTGGGCCACATAAACACCTCAATTACCAGTACTCTCCCCAGCACACTTAGAAGGTGCTTGGGGAATCAGAAGGGAAGGTTTATTATTTGCAAAGGCTAAATGAGGAGGTCTGATATAATTTAATTTAAACATTCTGTTACCATCTTACCAGAAGTTCATATTATCTAGTTGCTTCCTGTCTGACTCAGCTGCTGAATATCCCACCTTTGCAAAACAGACTTTCCATCTTGAGACACATGGCGTTTTGGGTGTATGCCCCTCATATCTGCTCTGACAACCATTAGTCTCTGCATCCTCAGCTTCCAAATCAGAACACGTAGCTGGGTTATGTCACTCTTTGTTCATGCCAGTGCGGAACCAGCATACTCAGACTACCCAACTTCACAAGTGCAAAAAATAATTTCCCTGTAACCCTGGAAAGGAATAGAAGGCTGTCTGCCCATAAAAATCTATCTGGAGATTACTCCATGGCATCTATCTTCCACACTTTGATTTAGGATGAATGACTAAATTGGTGGCTCTGCATTCCCAGTCAACTTTCCACATGAAGGCTCTATGCCAGCCACAAGAGATGATATACAGTTTGCAATTCCTCCTGATTTGTTTGTGTTCTTATTCCGGTTCGTCCTTTGCCAATGAAACCTGTGGCTTCATCCTGTTCTAAGGTTCTGGACACAGAGGTAAGCCATTCAGTACCATCAGTGGCGTACCTAGAGCATTTGGTACTCTGGCGGACCTTGTATTTGGCACCCTCCCACACGCCAAACTTTAAACTGTAACAAACACCTGCAATTTAAAAAAAAAATATTTTCAAGAATATTTATTGCACAAATTTGTAAACTGTATTTTAGAAAGATTCTCTTCAAGGACCAGTTAGAGACTACAAAGGAGTCGTTGAGGAGTCTTTAGGGTCTCTCTAACACTCTAGCCTCATTCACAATATAGTAATATAACATAGGTCTCTGATACCCAGCCGAAGTTGTGGCTCTTCTCACCTTAATTAATGTTGCTAGCTGGCTGCTGTGACCGGCCTTCTGCTGTGGCTAGGTAGCAGGCAAGCTGGCTGCGGCAGGCAGCTGTGGCTGTGATACTGGTATGGCTGGCTAGCAGGCCTCTTACTTCCCCCAAGCCTCTTTGTCCCCTTTTTGTATGTCTCTTTACCCCCATCTGTCCTCACCAGCCCTTTTGTGTGTGTCTGTTTGTCCCCCAAGCACTTCTGTGTGTCTCTTTGTGTCCCCAGCCTCTCAGTGTGTCTCTTAGAGCCCCTCTATGTGCCTCATTTCTCCCATCCCCTCCATGTGTCTTATTCTCCCCAGCCCCTCCATTGTTCCATTACTCCCCAAGTGTCTCATCCCCCCAGCCCCTCCATGTGTCTCATTAATCCCTCTCCACAGCCAAGCCAGGGGTCCCATTCCTCCCCCCCAGCCCCTCCATGTGCCCATTTCAGCCTCTCCAGGTATCCCACTCACCCTCTACAACCTTTCCATGAGTCCCCCCGATATGTCCCAGTCCCCCTCACCAGCCTCTCCAAGTGTCCAATTCCCTTCCTCTGCCTCTCCAAGTGTCCCACCTCCACACCCCCAGGCTCTCCAAGTGTCCCATTCCCCCCAGCCTCTCCATGTATCCCATTTCCCCCTTCCCTCCCCAGCCTCTCCACGTGTCCCATTCCCCCCCACTCCACAGACTCGCCATGTGTCCCATTTACTCCCCTCCATCCCCCCACTCCCCCCAGCCTCTCCACGTGTCTCATTCCACCCCCTCCCCAGCCCTTTCTGGCCGAGCCACAGTAGAGAAGCTCCTGCTCACTGTGCCTGGTCTGACAGTAGAGAAGCTCCTGCTCACTGTGCCTGGTCTGTAATTCCGCCATGCGCCCCCTGGGCCAGTACACCACAGACTGCCACGCACCGGCCCGAGGGTATGCCAGCAATTGACACCCCCGGTAAATGGGACGGGCCGCCTCCACCCGCAGTCACTGAAGGCCATTCAAATATCTTCAACACGCATTTAAAATACATTTGTTGCTGCAGATTTCCGTGGGTTCTCTGATTACCCAGAATGTATGGCTTCTTTATGTCTGTTGGACCATGTGCTCACTTTTTGTTGGTAATGGGCTAGGAGTGACTAAACGTCAAATTATATTGATTTGTAAATCAAATTACAAGAGCTAAACTAGCTGATTTGGAAAAATTCTCCAACTCATGTATAGTTACCTACATTTTATAGGTTACCTACTGTTAGCCACTAGTGATGTCCCGAACGGTTCGCCGAACGGTTCGCCGCGGATGGCGAACATATGACCCTGTACCTCACAGTCAGCAGACACATTCCAGCCAATCAGCAGCAGACCCTCCCTCCCAGACCCTCCCACCTCCTGGACAGCATCCATTTTGAAGCTGCATTCTTAGTAAGCTGTCCAGGAGGTGGGTGGGTCTGGGAGTGAAGGTCTGCTGCTGATTGGCTGGAATGTGATGTGTCTGCTGACTGTGAGGTACAGGGTCATATGTTCGCCGTCCGAGGCGAACCGTTCAGCGAACCGTTCGGGACATCACTATTAGCCACATATTGCAACTCTAAGTTTCAATTCTCCACATGGGTTGGATTATTTATACAAAGAATAAGTTAGCTGTAGGTATTCGTACCAACATTACCTATAGTCCCTCCACCATTAAGATCTTTTTGTTAAAGGAACACTCCACGCACCATAACCACTACAACTAGCTAGTGGTTATGGTCCAAGCAGAGCTCAGGTATTGCTTCACTGGAAGTAGTCAAACCATTTTTGAATGGTTTGACTTCTTCCCAATAATGCACTAAGCCCTCCATTGCAGTAGACCTAATGTAAGCTCCTGCTCAGGAATTTCTGGCTCTCCAGAGCTAAAGGGACACTGTAGGCACCCAGACCACTTGAGCTCATTGAAGTTGCCTGGGTGCTGTGTCCCTATTGCACTTAGTTTACATTGCAGCTCTAAGTCTGCGCTCAGTGGCTATCTACCAGAATCTTTCCCAATCTAAATTATGCTGGAGAGGATGTGGCCAAACGGGTACTCTTTCATATTTTCTGGTTGTGTCCAAAAATCCAAACTTATTGGCAAAACATATTAAATTTAATTATTTCCATTACAGAATTCCGAATTGATTTGACACCTAGTTTGTGTCTCCTTAAGTGTCTTCCAGATGATTTAGCATATCATAAACACGTTATGCTGGGCCATCTCCTTATTTCAGCCACCACAGCTATTCCCCACTTTTGGAAATCGGTTGCTATT